CAACCACCTTCTGGATTAGCCTCTCACCTCATCCCTTCGACCCTTGCGGATCAAAGAGCAATAATGGATCCCTCTCACAGATCCTCCAGGTACCACAGCCTTCCAGAAACGCTTTTCAAATTTCAATAATCCCACTCAAGCTCTTCTCCAGGTATAGGTGAAACATCAATCCCTCAGAATAAAAAGAGGAATCCTCCCATAGTGTAGTATATTTATTTTATTTATACCATAGGAACATAGGAACATAAACTTGTAGGTAGAAAATTCCACTTACATAGCAGCCAGTCCACATGAGACCCTCATGCTCTCAGATGAGGATAAATCTGTGTTGTTGGGTGTACAGCTGAATAACAGGTGTACCAAAATGGCCGCCACGCCGGAAATACGTCACCGCGCTTACGCCGACGCGTTACGTCACAATATCACGTGACTTCATCAGGGCCCTGATGAAGTCACGTGATATTGTGACGTAACGCGTCGGCGTAAGCGCGGTGACGTATTTCCGGCGTGGCGGCCATTTTGGTACACCTGTTATTCAGCTGTACACCCAACAACACAGATTTATCCTCATCTGAGAGCATGAGGGTCTCATGTGGACTGGCTGCTATGTAAGTGGAATTTTCTACCTACAAGTTTATGTTCCTATGTTCCTATGGTATAAATAAATAAATATACTACACTATGGGAGGATTCCTCTTTTTATTCTGAGGGATTGATGTTTCACCTATACCTGGAGAAGAGCTTGAGTGGGATTATTGAAATTTGAAAAGCGTTTCTGGAAGGCTGTGGTACCTGGAGGATCTGTGAGAGGGATCCATTATTGCTCTTTGATCCGCAAGGGTCGAAGGGATGAGGTGAGAGGCTAATCCAGAAGGTGGTTGGATTCACAAGCTCTATCTACACTCAGATACCTGCACGATTTGGTTCACCTGTGGTCACTTTGCAGTATTATTGGAAACACCGTTATCATTTTTGTTCACCTTCAACATTTAATTGGACTTTCTGTGCGTTTAATAAGCAATTATTTCACTTCACATTTTTTTCACCTTCAACATTTATAGATTTGTTTTTTTCTGTGCGTTTAATAAGTCATTATTTCACTTCACATTTGCACGTGTGATATAACTATATGTATGTGTAATTTATGCACATGCGTATAGATTTAAGTTTGTGTTTTTATAATTTTTGGGGTGTTTGATGTGGTAAATTTTTTTATCATTAAGCACTTATATATTTATTTACATAATATTGTCACTATATTGATTTATATTATCGGATTCCACATTCACTCAACTTTTGACATGACACAGAAGGGGTGTCAGAGAAATCCAAAATCATTCCTAATCCTATACTGCCCCCTTCAAGTAATTGAAATCAATTAGTAGAGAAAATGACACCCAGTATGACATAATTTTTAGGTGAGATAAGCTTTTCCCACCTAGGTTTTTTTGAGAGGATAAAAGTACAAGAAGGACAGAGACAGAGAAAACACATCACCAAAACAGAACATCACAAGACAGGAGACAAAGGGATAACAAACGGACACAGACACACCCTGAAGTGAGCTGACTGAAAGCTGACATCACAGAGTCCATATTGGTAACTAACTTTCATTTTCTTCAGCTAACTTGTACTAGCCTTATATCTCCAGCTCATTTTTTTAGACTGATAATGGTTATAGTTAGCACAGGAGTTGATGTGAAGTAATTTTAACTGCAGTATAAATTATTTTCATTTCAGTCCTCAGATATATATAAATATAAAACTAGGTAGACAACTTAGTGTAACAATTTATCTTGACCTCAGATAGATTCTAAACTGATTGGATTGGCCTTTGTATGGTATTCTTAATCAATTCATAACAAGGTACATGTTGAGCTTTGAATGTCTGGTTGCAGAGAGAGATCACGTGGTCGGTTTGCATAGCCATTGTCATATGTTACTGAGCTACTGAGAGTTTCCTACGCTGCATTTTTAGACAGGTAGTCCTAATTTCATTAATATTTGAAAATAACTGCAGATATCAATTTCTAACCATTATTTTGGATTAGATCATTGTACTGTTATTTTGAATTGTTTATTATTTATCATCACTTCTTATATTTCATTATCATTTTGCACTGATTTTTATTAGTAAATATATATTTTTGCACATTATTGCTTTTTATTTCATCTTCAGATTAGCGCAAATAAAGAACTTGGATTATATCAGCTGATTTATGAAAATTAGTAGGGAATCGCCTTAATTCCAGATACCCGCCTGTTTTTATAATTTATATACTAAATTATTTTCTCAGAGTTAAAGTTCTGACAGTTTCCTGACAGTTTTAATCACAAAAATGATTATTCAGGAGACAATACGTTTACTACAAGTATTGAACATATTGGAGTTTAATTTACTAATGGCACATAAGCGGTTTACTTACAAGGGAAGTTGCACTTTGCAAAGGAATCTGCCCCAACACTTACTAAAAGTGAATTGTTACTTTGCAAAAGAATTAGGGAAGCACTGATACTAAGCATTTGCGCGAGTACTTGTACTCGCGCAAATGCTCCGATACCTAAAAGCGATACCTTTTTTTTTGTGTGGTGTGATTTGAGTCCATACAAAATGAATGGGCTCAATCCGCACTCCAAAGAACTGCATGTGATTTGAACAGGAATGCAGTGCGATTCCTGTCTAAATCACATGTGGTTTCCAGCACTGCTCCTGTGTGAATCCAGGCTTGTCATAGTGACTTCAGCATTGGTTCACATAGGAGCGGTGTGGGAAACCGCATGTGATTCATACAGGAATCACAACGCATTCATGTTCAAAACACGTGATTCTTCGCAGTGCAATTTGAACCCATTCATTATGAATATATGAAAAATATTGGTAGTTGATATCATCGAGTACTTAACCACTTGCCTGCTGGGCACTTACGCTCTCCCTTCCTGCCCAGGCCAATTTTCAGCTTTCAGTGCTGTCATACTTTGAATGACATTAGTCAAGCAATACTGTACCCATATGAAATTTACGTCATTTTTTCACATGAATAGAGCTTTCTTTTGGTCGTATTTAATCACCACTGTTTTTTTGGGGGTTTTTTTTTGTTGCACTATAAACAAAAAAAGCCTTTTTTTTTAAAGAGTTTTTCTTTGTTTCTGTTATAAAATTTTGAAAATAAGTAATTTCTCTTCATAAATTTTGACAAAAAGGTTATACTGCTACGTTTCTTTGGTAAAAATAACCCAAATCAGGGTATATTATTTGGTATGTGTGAAAGCTATAGAGTCTACAAGCTATGGTACCAATCACTGAAAATTGATCACACCTGATGTATTGACATCTCATTTCTTAATGCCCTAAAGTGCCAGGACAGTACAAATACACCCCCACATGACCCCTTTTTGGAAAGTAGACATTCCATAGTATTTAGTAAAGACATGGCGAGTTCTTTTGAAGTTGCAATTTTTTTTCCCACGTGTGACACTTTTCCACAGCCTGGCCACAGAGAGGCTCAATATGCAAGGAGCACTGCCAGGTGTTCTAGGGACATAAATTACTCATCAATATCTTGACAGCCTATTACACTTTTGAAGGCCCTGAAGCTCCAAGACAATGGAATTACCCACAAAATGACCCCATTTTGATAAGCAAACACCCCAACATATATTCCATGAGGCAAAATGAGTCTTTTGAACATGTAATTTTTATCCACAAATTTTTGGAAAATGTGGAAAGAAAATTAAAATTTTTTTTTTTAACAGAAAGTTGACTATTTATAAGATATTTCTAACATAGCATATAAATATCAAAAAATACACCCCCAAATACTGGTACTCCTCCTGAGTATGGTGATACCTACGTGAGACTTTTTCACAGCTTAGCCATATACTAAGGCCCAGCATCCAAGTAGCACCTGGGTGCTGATGAGGCTGCACTGACGTGCACTAAAGCACTTCACCAATAAGCTGACACCGATGTGTATGGATGAGGCGGCACTGACAGATGCTGATGAGGATCCACTGATAGGGCGGCACTGATGTACACTGATAAGCTGCAGTGATGAGGCAGCACTGATAGACGCTGTAGGGCACTGATGGACCAATTACCTACACTTCCCAATGCATGCCGCCGGGGGCCCGCAGGAAGCATGATCAATCATGTCATGTGACGCCCTCCCAGAACTAGTCGGCCGCAGTGTAGCAGTCATACGGCTATTACCTGGTCGGCAAGTGGTTAAGGAAGAGTATCGGTAGTCGTACTCACTAATATCGATGCATCCTACAAAGAATATCTAACCATGTGCAAGGAAAATTAAAAAAACATATTTTTGCTTGCACCTTTGCTTGCACCTGATCATACAATGGAAGTCAGCAAAATTTCATCTCATTTGCCGAGCTCTGGTCTTCAGGATCTGAAAACTATAAACTATAGGAATAGACCACAGCCCTGGACCTGTATAGCACACTGCAACTAACTACATATGTTGCACTAAATGCTGAGGAGAATGCCCAAGCAGGATCCAGTGCCTGAAGCAACATTACAGGCCGCCCCTCCACAGTGTGGGGTCCAGGTACAAATCTTGAGGTATTACAGAGGCTGCACTGATCCGGATGCACTGTTTGTATTGCAATAGTAGAAGGCAATGAAGAGTTGATTGATGAATTTAAAGTAAATGAAAACTAGTAAAGCACAGAAACTTCTCCATAAGTGAGAAGAGGTTCATCACCTACATGACACTAGCACTGAGACATGTCCAAATGTTTTGCCAGTGTCAAATTACCTGAAGGTAGCAGCCTATAACCCAGGGTCAATAATTGCCCAGCCTGTATCCTGTACTGTACGATTAGGCAGTTTCTTCAGTGTGTCATGAGCATTTTGGAGTCCCAAATGGATTTCTGAATTTGTTGCATATAGATTTTATTGTATAATAATATGTGATGATAGAAGCTACCTATGAAAAATTACAGATGAAATTACAAGCAGGTACAGTATGTTAAGATGTTCTTACCTGTCCTTTTTTATTCACACCAATAATTCCAGAGGTAGGTTCATAAGGTGCAGTCACAAAAATTGTATCCGCGCTGATTCTGTTCATATAAATGCAGGCACCAGACTCCAGGTCATACATGTGGATATAGCCATATTTTGTAATTAAATAGATTACCCCATGTTTGGTGCCAATCTGCACATTAAAAATAAAAGGATTTCAAGATGTATTTTAAATTTACATGTAAGAATAATATGACATATAACTGATACCATGAACTAAAGAAAGATTACACTACTTGATAACTGGAACAATACAACAACAATAACAGAGTGGATATGCTATTACAGGACATTAGTGATACAATTTATAGTTATAGGAAGGGGGGGGGGGAGAGGGGGGAGAGAGAGAGAGAGAGAGAGAGAGAGAGAGAGAGAGAGAGAGAGCGCGCACGCGCACACCCTCTGCAATTATCAATAGCAAGCTGATCCACCTAATAACAAATATACCAATGAGGGTGTTATTCTAGATACAGAGACCAAAAGTGTGTTTAGCACAGAGCCCACATCAGTTCAATATAGATACAACTTTAATGTGGATTCACACATGTGTGGAGCGAATTGAAGCTCCATTTCCACAGGTAATTGACAAAAGTAGTTCTTCAGCGGTTCAGGTCAGGTTTAGATTAGGATCAGAAGAGAAAACTGGCCTGAAATTGTGTTCGCAAACTCATGACATATGCGATTCAAAAGCGGTTCCCATAGAAGTCAATGAGCCTGTAATCCACAACTGAACTGGACCGCAAAGCTCAGAAATCAGACAGGATCTGAATCTGCATTGCCAGTGCACCAGACGTATGTGAATAGGCACCATTGGAAGCAATGTTATTTCACAAGTCATACGGATTGGATGCAGTTCAAACCGCATCAAATCTGCCTATATGTGAACAGGCTTTTAGCCATCTATATAAAAGATTAAATTAACTTCTCCATTTCTCCCAGACTGGGTGCAGATAAGCTTAGGTAACCCAATGTTCAAATGTAACTCAGAACTCAGAAAATTAAATCCTGATAGATCACTTCATGCTAGCCCCTTCTGCAGGTATAACTATGTAAAACATTAAAAATCAGTGCCTATACTGTTTAACCACTTCAATACCAAACACTTTCACTCCCTTCCTGCCCAGGCCAATTTTCACCTTTTAGCGCTTTCACACTTTGAACAAATACTCAGTCATACACTTTCTTTTTTAGACAGATAGAGCTTTCTTTTGGTGGTATTTAATCACCACTGGGTTTTAAAAAAAATTTTTTTTTGCAATGTAAACAAAACATACTGAAAAAAACATGTTTTTCTTAGATTATGTTAAACAATTTTGCAAATAAATAATCTTTTGTCATAAACATGAGCAAAAATTTATTCTGCTACATTTCTTTGGTTAAAAAAATCCCCAATCAGTGCATATTATTTAGTCTGTGTGAGCGTTGTAGAGTCGGCAAACAATGCTATATATTTGAAAATTGACCAGTCCTGGTGTACCGACAGCCTCTTATGAACCTTAGCCTGTTGCCACTGAGAGAAAGCTCCAAGCTGAAATAATTTAGAAAGGTATTCATTAAGCCATAGGGGAATGTATGGGTCCCTAACACCCAACAGGAGCTTAGCAGCATTCCACACTCTTCCCAAAAGACAAAGTAGAGCACCTGGCAGACAAGCTGATAAAACCATTATAAGTTTAAAACGCATCCAGAAAGTATTCACAGCGCTTAACTTTTGCCACATTTTGCTATGTTACAGCCTTATTCCAAAATGGGTTAAATTAATTTTTTTCCTCAACAAAATCTTTGCAATTTATTACAAATAAATGAAAAAAACCACATGTACATAAGTATTCACAGCCTTTGCTCAATACTTTGTTGAAGCACCAATTACAGCCTCAAGTCGTTGAGTATGATGCTACAAGCTTGGCACACCTATTTTTGGGCTATTTCTCCCACTCTTCTTTGGATGGGGAGCATCGGTGCACAGCCATTTTCAGATCTCTCCAGAGATGTTCAATCGAGTTCAAGTCTGGGCTCTGGGTAGGCCACTCCAGGACATTCACAGAGTTGGCCCGTAGCCACTCCTTTGTTATGTGGGCTGTCTGCTTAGGGTCATTGTCCTGTTGAAGTCTAAGGTCCAGAGCACTCTGGAACAGGTTTTCATCAAGGATGTCTCTGTACATTGCTGCATTCATCTTTCCTTTGATCCTGACTAGTCTCCCAGTCCCTGCCACTGAAAAACATCCGCACAGCATGATGCTGCCACTACCATGCTTCACTGTAGGGATGGTATTGGCAAGGTGGTGAGCGGTGCCTGGTTTCCTCCAGACATGACGCTTGGCATTCAGGCTAAAGAGTTCAACCTTTGTTTCATCAGACCAGGGAGTTTTGTTTTCTCATGGTCTGAGAGTCCCTCAGCTGTGGCTTCTGACTGGCCACTCTACCATACAGGCCTGATTCGTGGAGTGCTGCAGAGATGGTTGTTCTTCTGGAAGGTTCTTCTTTCTCCACAGAGAAACGCTGGAGCTCTTCCAGAGTGACCATCAGGTGCTTGGTTACCTCCCTGGCTAAGGCCCTTCTCCCTCGATCGCTCATTTTGACCAGGTGGCCCGCTCTAGGAAGATTCTTGGTGGTTCCAAACCTCTTCTATTTATGGATGATGGAGGCCACTGTGCTCACTGGGACATTCAATGCTGCAGAAATGTTTCCGTACCCTTTCCCAGATCTGTGCCTTGATACAATCCTGTTTTGGAGGTCTACGGACAATTCCTTGAACTTCATGGCTTGGTTTGTGCTCTGACATGCACTGTTAGCTGTGGGACCTTATATAGACAGGTTTATGCCTTTCCGAATGATGTCCAATCAACTGAATTTCCCACAGGTGGACTCCAATCAAGTTGTGGAAACATCTCAAGGATGATCAGTAGGAACAGGATGCACCAGAGCTCAATTTTGAGTGTCATGGCAAAGGCATTGTTTTGAAATTGCAAAGATTTCAAAACAAACTTCTTTCATGTTGTCATTATGGGGTATTGTTTGTAGAATGTTGAGGGAAAAAAAATAAATTTAATCCATTTTGGAATCAGGCTGTAACATAAAATGTGGCAAAAGTTAAGCACTGTGAATACTTTCTGGATGCACTGTAAGTAGCAGAGAATCAATTGACTATCTCTCAACTCCCCAGATAATGCAACTGGCTAGCATAAAAAATGTCCATGGATTAGGAGCCAAAATAGCACTTGTCACTGTTAAAACTGGTGCTGTGGTTTTGAAAAAAATATTTTTTTCTGGTTGACAGTGCTGACTGTAGCTCCACCCCAAAACAAAACCCCAAACTGTGGGCATTCCTATGGAAAAGGTACACGCACTATAGCCATAGCGCCCTCTCAGTTTTGCAGCCCTCCTTGCCATGCATCCCTGAGCCTTCTATGCTTAATTTGTACAAGTAAAAGGCTGAGCTCACAACCTCACCAGCCACCTCTCCATTCTGCAGCCATACCTCCTTCACTACTGTTAAAAGACTGAACCCACAATCTCTAGGAGCCGCCAGCTAGTTCAGAGGAGATTACTAAAGTAGTAGATGACGGCTTGTGATGGCTGAGAAGCAGAGCAAGTCATTCACAGAGACACAAGTCAACAACATACTCTGGCAGCTACTACATGAGTCTATCACAAGTGTAATAGCTACTGAAGTGTGCTTTTTTCAGCTTGTGTTTTTGTAAATGACTGCTGCTCCTCCCCAGCTACCATCATTTACACAACACAAGCAGCCAGCTACTACTGTAGTAATTACCTCTGAACTAGCTGCAGCAGATTGCAACCTCATTCACAGTAGCAGAAGAGGTGGCGTGGCTGCAGAATGGAGAGGAGGGATGTGGGAAGTTGCAGGATTAGCTTTTTATCTGTATGAATAAAGCAGAGGAGGCACAGGAATGGGGGATGCAGATGTTCAGAAAGCAGGGGAAGTGCAGCCAACTACTACTGTACTAATTACCTTAGAACTAGCTGCAGGAGATTGCAGGCTTATTCACAGTAGCAGAAGAGGTATGGCTGCAGAATGGAGAAAGGGGTTGTGAGAAGTTGCAGGATTAGCTTTATATTTAGATAAATAAAGCAGAGGAAGCACAGGAATGAGGGCTGCAGATGTTCAGGAAGCAGGGGCAGTGCAGGTACTGTGTTGGCTTGTGTCTAAACTGCACCCTCTCCTCTGTACCGTCAGTCAGAAATCTATCTCCTTTGTCCAGCATTGTCAGATAGCAGTGGGAGGTGAGAGGCTAGCTATCTGACAACAATTAGGAATTGCAGCATTGATTTTAACAGAGACAAGTGTCATGTCCACAGGGAGATTTAAAGCAGAGTTGCACCCAAAAGTGGAAGCTCCGCTTATCTGCCTCCTCCCCCCCTCTGCTATTAGGCACCTTTTGGGAGGGGGGGGGGGGGGGGGGCGGGTACCTGGTTTTGACAGGTACCCGTTTCCATTTTCGACTCAGTTTGCTGCATTTCAACAGGTCCCAGACGCAGCAGGTCATACGCAGCAGGAAACCAACTGTGAATCCGCAAGGATTGTCAGTTTTCCTTAGAGCAGATGACGGCGCCAGCACCCGACAGCCAATTGATGAATCGGCTTGGGGTGAGGACACCGCTGGATCTGTTTGGGTTAGGGGAATTAAGGGTTGGAGAAGAAGACCTTACCCTAACAGTTTATGAAATGCCATACCTGCATAGCCACAGGAAAGTCTGTCTGAGCTTCAGGAGGAAAGAAGACATCAACAGCTTTTTTGGTGAATGGCTGGTTTCCATTAGCAGGCTGTCCAACTTCAATGATGTGCAGCTGGAATTATGTGAAACATAATTTTGGCTACAAGTTAGTCAAATCATTTAGAAAAAAACAATTCCAGAGCACTTAATACACCTTAGTTCCTTTAATATACTGTACATCATGAAATATCAGGTAAGTTTGCAAATGTTAAATTTCCCCTTTTCCTTGTTCTTGCTGTCCCCTCGAGTACATAGGTACCCTAAAAAGCCTATCAGTTCAAATGTCTAGGCCGATAAGGATATTTGCAGACATATTCAAACACATAAATAGAATAAAAGAAAGCATACCTAATATCTCCCTAGCTCAGCCTCTCTCAAACTTTTCAACAGAGGAACCCCTGAAATAACTTTCAGTCTCATTCCAGTCTCAGAGAACCCCTGTTAAAAACTACTATAGCTACAACTCATAATAAATTAGTGTGATGGACAGTGGGAAGAATGCTGGTTATTGGAAATAATTACTCCCTTACACATAGCTTAAAAAAAAAAAAAAAAAATCAATGTTGTCACGAACACCTTATCTGAGAGGCAGAAATTGTTCATTGCTCAGGGAACCCTTAGTAACCTCCGGAGGAACCCTAGAGCTAGGACAGATGTCAATGATTAAGGCCTGTGGTGACATGGACAGGTCAAAAGAAAGAGCAACAACGGTAATGTTGTGTGCCCTCCGCAAAACACAGGTAACGTTACTAGCGATGTGCAAGTAGACATCCTTGATGTCCACAGAGACCAGAAGGTCCCTAGGCTGGGGGGAGCAATTAAATGTCCTGGGAGATTCCACAAGAAATTTTGTATTTGAAGGAACATGCTGAGAAACACCCTAATCAAGAATGGGGCAAATGCCTCTAATTTGCCTTGGGGACTTCCTTAACAGGCATAGTTAAGGCCTTGTTAAGGTGATTGAAAAGGCTCAACATTTTTTTTACCATTGTACAGAACACATTCAAGGAGCAGTGTACAGGAAGCCAATCATGGCAGTTTTTAAGAACCTAGGTTGGCGGTGGGGCCAATGCAGGCTGCTCTAAGGAAAAGCATGTGTGCACTGTGTCAATAAGGACAGAAAAAGTATCCTTAAGTTTGGGGGAGACTGAATACTCTAAACCAGATGAGACATTCTGATTCTCCTAGTCTTTAGTAAGCATGAACACTGTGGGGGAAAAATTAGAGCTGGACCAAAGGAGAGGCTGCTTACTTCCTCTGCAATCTGAGGACTAAATGGTTGAGAGCCCACCCATCAATTCAGCAACAGTGGCTAAGACCTACTCTGAGGGTTAACGGAAGGAGGAAAGTATACCAGAAGGGGCTAGTGAAGCCTCTGAAAATTGCTGCTACTCAGACAAGGAGCAGTGGTCAGGACTACCAGAATTTTGCTTTTAGAACCTAGGCTTTCCCTATTCATATGCTAATAAACTCGTTGGATGGTTTCACGAAGCTCTTGGAACAGGAAGGGATGTTGGCAGAAATTAGGGGGGGGGAAGGATCAAGGGACTTGAACACAGCTACGTGCTCAACACAAAGCGGTAAAACTAGTATGGAGGACTTTGAAGAAGCAAGGAGGAGTTTTAGATTCTGGATAGAAAGAAGGTGACACCATAACACTAATTCTTAAGACCAAAGAAAGTCTGTGCAACAAGTGAGCTTTGCCTGGGGATGATGCTAAATCTACAAATCAAGCTAAGTAACTGTTTCGTGTATCCCTACTGAATACATTGGCCAAGCCCATTTGCCAGGAAGGCTAGAAAACTTGTGTATTGGTATATTGTATGCATATTTTGTAATACTCTGTATGTCTTGAATTGGTTTTCCTACAACTGTATGTACTGTTTTTGTTTAGTAAAGCACATTAATACACCAAAGAGGTTTTTATGCTTCCTTGCTTTTACCGCAAAGAACCTTAAAAAGACACAAAGCAAAACAGGGTCTAAGCTTCATCCATGTGCTTTAACATACAAATAAAAAAAATAGTAAGCTTTAACAACTGATCTAGCTATACCTTTTTCAAAAATTCAGAACACTTACTTTGCCCCCTGCTTGTCCACGCACAGCAAAACAGAACAGAGTTGAAGGTTTTGAATTTCTCTCAATCTTGAATTCCGCAAAAGCAGCAGCATGACCCTCAATCGGCTGAGACACTTTCCTTTCCACAGAATACAACTGCATGGCACCAACTACTCTGTTTTGCTATAAAAAAAAAGGCAAAAAAAAAAAAATTACAAGTGAAACTGCAAAATGCAATGTATGGACACATTAAATCATGGCAAATGTAAGTTAAAATGTCTGGCAGATCTGACTCTCTGTGGAGCTGTAATCTCAACAGGTACTTTTAAAGGAGGCTGCCCTGAAATGTTAATTATTTAAAATGGCAACCATGTAAAACAAATTTAAATATGACAACAGCATTAAAAACACAGTTTGATAGGAAAAACTGGATTTTTTTGTTACCGTAAAATCCCTTTCTCTGAGTTTGACGGACACAACTGCTTCTTCTTTATCTATAACAAAACAAGTTTTATAGCCCAATCTACAGGAGTAGGACACTAGGCAGGGAAGAAAAAAAAAAACTCAGCACCTCTATGGCCGTCCTCTCTGGGCATAAAACTTCCTCTCAGCTATAGGCCTCCAGTCAGTTACAAGCAGTGTCAAAGGAGAAATGTCCATAGAGGGGCGAGTGTTGTGTCCGTCAATGAACTCAGAGAAAAGGATTTTACAGTAACAAAAAATCCTGTTTTCTCTTATGTTTATTGACAGACACAGCTGCTTCTTCTTTGTCCATAATCAAAACAGGGATGTCCCAAAGCAGTGTCACAATGAAGTGCGGGCAAACCAACGAATAGAAAAAAAAAAAACCCAGAGCAACCTGCCATTCTGGACCACCTCGAAGGGGCGCCGAAAAGTCCTAAAAAACCATCTGCAAAACCTAGCAACCAAAACTAGCATTACAGGGATGACAGATCAACTGTATAAAAATGTTGGAAACGAGAGCAAAGACCACCAGGTGGCCACCATGCAAACTTGAAACAGACGCCAGAATGCCCAGGAGGCGCTAACCGCCCTGGGGGAGTACCCCGTCATGGGGAAGGGAGGATCATGCCCCTTAATTGCATGCGCTGGCACAAGCATCAGCCAAATCCAGCGGAAAAAAATTGGCCATCAGAGATGTACACATAATCATGTGAACCAAGCCATGAGTGTAACACCACCTCATCTTGGTGTTACAGTCAAGGACTAATGGAGGGAAGGGTACTGTCCTCATGCAAGTGGAAAGCCATAATCATTTTAAAAAAAAAAAAAAAAAGAAGAAGGGGATGGCCAAAACGCTACCTTTTCCTTGTGCAGAAGCAAATGATTAGGCTTAGAGGATAAAGCTGCCAGTCCTGACTCCCACTGAGCCAAACTGATAGCAACTAGTAAGGCAACCTTCTGCCAGAGCAGAAGCAATGGCATATCCTGTAATGCTCTCAAAAGGAGGCTACCGAAGAGCCGACAACACCAAATGCAAGTCCCACGACGGCAAAGGGTAGCACATTGGGCACTATATGACGACACCCCTGAATAAATGCGCAAACTAAGAACAGCGTGGCCAAGGAACACTGAAAGAACAGAAATGTGACCTCTGGTGTACTCAAAGCAAGCTGCTGATCAACGCCACGTAGAAGGAAAGCCAACACCCGATCTCTGTTGCATATTTTATATATTTCTTGTAGTTTGAGGAAATGCTTCTCAAGCAAATGCCCCTGGATACAATGGTAAAATAGATACCATTGTTATATTTCAGTTGACAGTTGGCTATTGTTCTGATTGTTCTGTAGCCATGGTTACCAATAGCTTGACCTAACATATATGACCTATGGCATGTATGGTACAACAGTGCCATCTTGAGGTCGAACTGGAGAATGTATCACCTATATAATTGGACAGTATAATAAGGTAGAGAGGGACCACACCCATGTGTGATTGGCTAGCTACGCTTTCTAAATAAAAGGCAACAACAGAAACTGAGTAGGAGAACTCTAAGATGACTTAACATCAAGGAAGATCTCTGACAGAAGAAGACGTTTTTCGCCTGATCTCCTGCAACTGCTGTAGAGTAAGCTTGGGTCCTCGTGTTGCCTATGGAGATCGTGAATGCACTCTAACCTGAGTTAAGTAACCTTTTCAGCATATTACAATTGTATACAGAACATAGTTTAGCTAGGTAGTAGGCAGCATTTTGCTTGATCTAGGTATAGCTGTTAGTCATGTTGTATTCCTAATTGTAATTTTCTCTATGTACAGCATTTTTATTTAGTAAAATCACATAATACACTAAAGAGGTTCAAGTTTCCTTGCTTATAATGAAAAGTAGCCTTTACTAGACAGAAAGCAAAAAACATGAGCCACAGAGAAGGAGCAAGGATGGAACCCCAAGGCATTGTACCAAACGATAAAAGCTCTTCAGGTGCAATGATAAATCTTCTGAGAGGTAGACTTATAAGCCTTAAACATGGTCGGACTCACCGAGCCAGACAACCCCCTTTCCTTCGGAAACCTGGCTGACAATATCCAGGCTGTCAAGACCAGCAAAAGGAAAACAGGGTGGAATACAGGCTCCTGAGACAGGTGGTCAGCTGCCAGGGAGCATCTGCCCCAATTGCACCATGTTGGTGCAGCATACATGGCGAGGCCAGTCCGGAGCTACCAGGATGACAGGGATCCTATCTGCCTCTATCCTGCATAGTAGATGAGGAATCAAGCTGAAGGGCAGAAAGAAATAATGAGCTGGTACTGATCCCATAGTGCCATCAATGGCTCAGTCGCATATGCCAGAGGGTCCTTGCCATGGGCCTTGGAACCTACTGGTTGAAAAGGGACAACAGAGGATTCACATCTGGTGTCCCTCAGCTAAGGCAGAGCTGATGGAACACCTCCTGATGCAGAGATCACTCGCCTTGATCCAGCATCTAATGGCTGAGATAATCTGCTTGCCAGTTTTTGACCACTGTAATATGTACGGTGGACAGAGCTGTAACAAACCTTTCCACCCATCTTAGGGTGTGAAGTGCCTCCAGTGCAGCTGCTACGCCTCTTTTGCCTCCCTAAAGATTGACATACGCCACTGAGGTGGTGTCATCCAACTGGATCCTGATCAGCAGACCCCGTAGGCAATCCATCCAAAGTGTCAGCAGCAACCCGATTGCCCGAAGCTCCAGGACAATGATGTTCAGTCGAGCCTCCTCTGGAGTCCAGCGACACTAAGCCAAGTCCGATCCCAAGACTCCTGGGCTGGCATCTGTCTTGACCAAGATCAGTCGAAAGGGAAGGAAGTACTTTCCATTCCGTAGAGCTGGAGACAGGAGCCATCAGAGAAGGAAGGCCCTCATCACCTGCTTTGCAGAGAGCTAGAAAGCAGCACTTCCCCACTGAAAGGAGAGAGATCTGTGTTTACACACAAATATCTTCCCTGTCAGCTGCTCCGCCGATCACCAAATCCCAGCCATGAATCGCTGGCTGGGTACCAGTGATTGACATTTCCAGGAGCAAATATGTGGTTTTCCACAGCGTGGCCGCCCTGTAGCAGTACATCTGCTATGGGGCGATCAGCAAAGTCGGGTGTCGGCAACCCGCGGCTCTTCTTCACCTTTCCTGCGGCTCCGGAGCACACTGCCCACCAGGTGACAGGCAATAGGGTCGGCAAGCCGCGGCTCTTTTAATGCAGCTCTTCTGTGTGCCGGGCGCCCGCTGGCAAACATTGCCTGTCAGGATGTAGGCGGGGCAGCGTGACGAACTCCTCTCCTCTCACAGTCCGCCCTGAAGACCAGAACGGCGCGGGGAACACAGCGAGAGGAACGCGCGGAGCAAAGGTAAGTGAATTGACACAATATGGGGGAATGAATTAGTATAGGGGGGATGAATTACTATAGGGGGGATGAATTACTATAGGGGGGATGAATTACTATAGGGGGGATGAATTTGCTATAGGGGGGATGAATTGCTATAGGGGGGATGAATTACTATAGGGGGGATGAATTACTATAGGGGGGATGAATTACTATATGGGGGATGAATTACTATATGGGGGATTAATTACTATATGGGGGATGAATTACTATGGGGGATGAATTACTATATGGGGGATGTATTTTCAGTTTTAAAAATGTTTCTCTCAAAATAAATTTCAATCGTGGTTTTAGCGAGATTTGGCTCAGTTGAAAAAAAAGGTTGTCCACCACTGACCTAAGGCTATGATTGTGATTATGACGATACACTGTGGCCCTGATTAACCCTTTGCTTACTGGGCCCTTAAACCCCCTTCATGACCAGAGCGCTTTTTGCAATATATGCAGTGTCGGATTTGTTTTAAATGTTGCAATGGTTTTGCGGCTCCCAGTCTTTTTTTCCCTCTCGGAAACGGGTCCAAGTGGCTCTTTATGTCTTAAAGGTTGCAGACCCCTGAGCAAAGTGAATAAAGAAGCAACAGCTGTGTCCATCATTGAACGTAAGAGAAAATACATTTACACCAAATCATTAGTGACTCATCTTAAAAAATATACCGAGGAAATCGGCCATCAAATACAAATATAACAAAAACATACGCAACCGGGATAGACGTCATGTCCAGCTCAGATAATATAAGTAATAGAGAATGAATCCAAGTAAACCATGATGAATAGCTTATAACACCTGTCAACATATCTCTCTTCACTGCTTAGACTGGGGATAAGGAGGTCTTATACCAGGTTAGGTGTAATAATCAAGTGAACTGTATTTAACATTGAGTAACACCCTTATGAAAACAAAGAGGAATGTCGAGAGCAGCTAGGGTAGCAGCTAGGGTGGCACCCCCCCCCCCAGTCTTCAGTCCTCTGGTGAAAGATACTGTATCCAAGGTTGCCACATCTTGTCAAATGTCTTCTGGTTGTTATGGAGGGAGCACATTAATTTGTCATTAATCTTGATTCAATTTAGTTTTTGTGTAACATAATCAAAACTTTAGCATTGACTAGTTCCAACACTGGGCTATATCTATCCTAGCACCTAGTATCATATAAGATGAATTTTCTGAAATAATACATCTCAGTAGTGTCAATAAACACACATGGAAGGAAAATGAAAACTCATCCTTACCATTACATTATGCTTTTTATATCAGTAGTCACTTCAAAAGGTTGCAAAACAAAATAAAGATGAATTCCAGATATGGATACTTTATACAAAGCCACATTGGTCCAGTTTGGACCATTGTAACTACATATGTATACACCATATCTGGCCAATATCCTGGCAGCCGGAAATCACTGAAGTAGACACAGATACTTCAATGATCTCCACAGGCTTCCATGTTCCTGTGCCAAGTGGCTGCCTTACTGCATTCTGAGCACAGGAGGTTGCGAACTTGGCACAGGCGACATTCAGCGAATGCATTGCAAAACATTCTCTGATTGGACAAGGTGGACAGTGTGAAATCACCACTCATCCAATCAGAGAATGCTTTGCATTCATTCAGAAAATGCAAAGTATTTTCTGAATGGCACCTGTACCGAGTGCCCAGCCTCCTGTGTTCAGAATACAGCTGGGCAGCCACTTGGCATGAGTCTCACTAGGGTAGCAGCATCTACTTCAGCAATTTACATCTTTTATGGTATTCGGCTGGATCAATGTAACCATGTATAACATATCCATAACTGGAATTCATCTTTAAGAATTCCATTATATTGTATGTTCACAGATAAGTCAAAATGAGGGCACTTGCATTTACTCCAGATTCTCTCTAAGTGTGTAGTGATCAAAATGGATCAATGCAAATCAGAAAATACCAGTTACCTTTGCTGTGTACTTGTTCCTTACCATAGGACCCCTACAGTTCAGAGGAACAGCAGTACTTCTCTAGCAGAAGACAATTTTAAGCACCAACAAGACATGAACTATATACTTGGTACTCATCCATACTGCACTAAAAGCAACATCCTGCTCTTAACACACATTTTAAGTAATATAAAATGTTATTTATGTAGTACCTGAGCAGAGATACCAATAAGCAGAAGCCACTTTTGTTGCTCATCTGTTCTATAATTGATAATCTGGCAGCCAGCAAGGCTTGCATGGCGATCAAACATTTTCTGAGGCTGGGAGTCTCCTTCCATGCTCCAGTGATATACAGCCGTCTCAGTCACCAGAGCTACAGTATTGACAGATATCCATTTCCAAAAAATGACCTCCTCTGACATGGTATGAGCCTTCATCTTGCTTTTCATCTCAATGTTAAAGATCTGAAGGGTTTTTCCAGCTGGAAAATGAGATAAGACAACATTTCAAAGCACTGCATCAGATACAGATCTATCTTAATTTTGAAGGGTTTGGAAGCAGTCCTAGTAAACAAAGCAAATACAAGGATTAGTGTGGATGATATAAGCAGTTTTCCAAGGCTGGTTATAGACATTAGTAGGCACTTTGACATGTACACAAAATTCATTTGAACACAGACCAACGGACATGCGCGCACACAGACACACACGCACTATTCTCTAAGCATGCATGCTTATACCTATGAAGACAGTACAGGAAGATTGGCTTCACTGTCAGTTTATCTCAGGGAAAGTGACAGAAATGTCAAATTATTCAGCATGACCAGTCCCTATTTTCATCCCTTCCCGAGACTGGGGAACTGGGGAAGAGATGTGTTCTGCTAATGCCTATGGACAAGAGAGTAACAAGTGCCACCAAATGCAGCTTTAATACAGTCATTATAATGCCAGCGTTAATTTTCTTAAACTGTAAATAACTGAGAAAGAATGCATCCATAAAGGATTGTGCATACTGTCCCACCAGATCTTATAGTTCAAATTTTTGTCCAGTTAGGGCTCGTTTACACTAACTTCAAAACATGGCATTGGACAGGCTTTTTTTTAAAGAACTCTGAACGCCAATCAAAGCCCCTGTCACTAAATAAAATGGTAAGCTTACAGTCCTGTTTATATGTTGTGTTTTCTGTGCTTCAAAAATTATACCTCAGGTCGCTTTAATGGTGCTTCAAAGAGTCTTCAAGGCCTCCATAGAAGTCTAACAGAGCTGACTGATCACGGTGATAGCCAATTAGAGGCTATCACAGCAATCAGGTGACCCGGAATTGGGCGAGACCCTAGTCTCGGTGCAGGGAGCGCGCTGTGCGGCAGGCATTCTTCCAGCAGAAAGGAAGGTACGCAAATATGCGGCCCCACAGCAAAAAGCCCAGTGCAGTGGGGCCACATATTTGTTGTACAACGGTGTCAAGGGGTTAAAAGCAAACATTACATTGCAGCGTAACAACTCATAGATGTGGTTCCTGCATTAGTTTTTTTTTTTTAGGTTATCTTTCCTTTATTTTCACCTGGTGATCTAGCCAGAAATTCTGTTATCTTTCAACAGAACACACTGTCCTGCAAATGTAGCAGTTAGAGAGCGGAGACAAACCATTTAGCACTTACAGGAGGGCTTACAAGGGTCAGATTGGCAAACATCCAAGCAATCAGATTCTTGCAATCGCACTGCATTTTGCATGTTTTGGGGTGCCATTAATTTAACATCGACACCAGTTACAGATCACATGAATGGAGTACAAATTCAATGTGGTGCAGGAAACACTCAGGATTTACTGTTTCCCACATTGCATATATGTGAATCGGGTCTTATACAGGAGATGAGTTACTGATCAGATCAAAGGATGAAAACAGAGGGGAAAAAACCCTGAAGAAAAGAAAGCTAATACAGCACCACATCTAAGGATTGGAAAGCCGCAATATATAAAATGTTTAGTTTGTTTTTATTACTTCTTTAGGCTTCCCATAAAACAGTAAAATTTTGACCAAAAAATTTTAGTTTTAGGAACGTTTGCACTGATACCAAGTATTTTCATGTGTACTCATACTCGTGAAAATACTCTCGATAACTTAATCGATATCTTGCAGTGGGATTTGCGTTAATGAAAGGCAAATTGCACCGCAAAGATTAGCATGCAATTTGAACAGGAATGCGATTCCTGTCCAAATTGCATGCGGTTTCCCCTCTGCTCCTGTGTAAACCCAGGCTACAGGACTTTTGACTGATCAGCACTGTGACATGGACAATGCTGACCACTCAGATGCCATCTAGCCCGAACTGTCATCTCTGCAAAAAGAGCAAAGATTTGAAATCCCCATCGCTTTCTCTCCTCTCCTACCACTGAGACTCCACATCGGATGCCTGCAGGGAGGTTTCAGGCACCTCTCCTGTGTGAAATTGGGCTATGACAAGCCTAGGTTCACACAGGAGCAGTAGGGAAACTGCATGTGATTTGGACAGGAATTGTATTCCTAATCAAATCGCATGTTATTCTTTGCATCCCTTAACACAAATCGCACCGCAAATTATCGGTAACCGGATCACCGAGTACTTGTCTGAAAGTATCGGTACTCATACTCACTGATAAAAAAAAAAAACAGTATTGGTGCATCCCTAATTTTTTTTTATAAATTGTTAACAGTGAATGTGTTTTTTTGATGGGGAAATCACATTCATTTCAAAATTGAATGTTAAAAGCAAACGGAATTTTGAAATACTTTCCGAGGACATTTGTCAAATCATTGAATGTACCCAGATTTTTCCTACAAATATATGCATGAACGTTTGTTCAGAAATCTAACAGTATATTGCCAGAGTTTATATCGACTAACATCAGTTCAGTTATTTTGATCAGACCACTCATCCACACAATCGAGTGGGATGGGAAATTCTCCCTGCTCTGTTATTGTATTCTGCCAGCAGGATTCTTCCATTGTCAGACTAAATTGATCCATACTGCAAACTGACTGGCTGCCAAGCCTGTTCAAAAGCAGCCTGTCTTTAGATTGGCCATAGATGGATCGAAATTCTGCTGGTCCCTGCTGAGCTTCGATCCATCTATGGCCACCTTGAAGAATAAGTTCACCTTTCTCAACTTGTTACACCCTTTTTTAGCATGTTTTTTTAAAAGGGGGAACTTATTCTTTAAGTTTGATGACGCTCCAGCGCAAAGATGAGCAAAAAGTAGCTAAACTCTGGAAGCTATGGCAGAAAAGGGCAGGTTAGTTTTGCCTGTGGTCTCTTCTAGCTCATCATTATCAATATCTTGCCATGCATTGTTGGGCACTGCCTCTGTGTTGAGGTGGCCATCTAGCCAGAGAAATGGCTCTGCCTTATGCCAGAGCCTCCAACAAGGTACACAGTGAGCAGCACAGTAGTAACTGCAAATCTCACTCCAAATCTCCTGAGACTAGCAGTCAATAGGCAGCACAGCTGTACATTTATAATGGAGGTATACAGCTATGAGACTGTGGGCACAAGAGTGACTAGGCACCTCAACATACAAGTGAGCTGTTACTTTTCAGGAGGAATTCTAGCCACTAGGCATGTTTTTCAGAGTAGTGCTTAACCACAATTAAAGCAGAACTAAAAGGCAAAAAAAAAACTTTATTTCCATTTTGGATAGTTATACGCTATAACCCCTGTAACTCATATTTTTGCCATCTGTATTCCATTGGGAAGATTACCATTCACTTCCTTTCCCATAGCCATAACAGGAAGTGATATAAATTCCCCCTAAAGCAGTGTTTTTCAACCTTTTTCAGTCAAGGCACCCTTTTAAATTCTGCACTTGAAAAGAATTTTTGTGGCCAAGAATATTCTTTTCTTTCCAGGTCACAGCTCAAGCTCATTTCTTTCTCAATTATATTTCTCGCACGACTATACCATCATTGATTAGAAATTCATTCATTTTTGCAAAATCTTACAATGTGCTCAATCACTCAGATTGGATGATCAAATGAATACTGGCCATTTCTGTGGCCCACTAATGGTGCGAAATTCAAAAGAAAATTCTTTAGGAATTCGACCCATGGCTTTACTCCAACACCCCTAACTAAAATCTAGTGGAACCAATTGCCTTCAAAAGTCACCTAATTAGTAAGATAGAGTCCACCTGTGTGTAATTTAATCTGGATATAAATACAGCTGTTCTGTGAAGCCCTCAAAGGTTTGTTAAAGAACATTAATGAACAAACAGCATCAGGAAGGCCAAGGAACAGACCAGATAGGTCAGGGATAAAGCTATGGAGTTATAATAGAAGGGTTTAGATCAAAGCATATTCATGTGTTAGAATGGCTCAGTCAAAGTCCAGACCTAAATCCAATTGAGAATCTGTGGCAAGACTTGAAAATTGATGTTCACAGACGCTCTCCGTCCAACCTGACAGAACTTGAACTATTTTGCCAAGAAGAACGGGCAAACATTTCACTCTATAGATGTGCACAGCTGGTAGAGACATCCCCAAAAAGACTTGCAGCGAAAGGTGGTTCTACAAAAGTATTGACTTGGGGTGTTAGATAATTAGTTTATGTGGAATCTCCATTAATGGATGTAAATAATGTTATAATTACAAGTATAATTTAGTTAGATGGAAATATACAGTATTTAAACCATTAAGTGTTTTGCAGCATCACACTTTCTAGCTTCCATACTGGTGTGTGTGTGTGTATGTGTATATATGTATGTATATATATATATATATATATATATATATATATAGTTTTCCACTATACAAGTTCTGGCCTTTTGTTGTCCCTTTAGCATATCTCACATGAGTGGTAAACAGCAGCCTTCTTTGAACTTCCAGAGTCCAATATACATTGGCTAGGTAGTGTCCAGTTAATGAGCATTATATTAGCCACAGTACAGAAAGGAGGTGGGGGGGAGATATAAGGCCTGGTCACCCAGCTGATGGTCTCTTTGTGATGAGACACACACAGCAGGCAGGATGACCAAACCTGAAGTTGAGAGGTAAACTAACTTAGTACTTGTATTGTACATTGTATTTTAAACATGGTTTTGTGGGTAAATTGTAACTATCATATAAGTCAAGATACTTAAACTGTACATTGTGTTGTAAATACTGCTTAGCGTGTAATTTGTATATATTATGTACCTCTATCAATAAATGAATATTGCAGATGGAACTACCTCTTTTGTGTAGGAACTCTCAGATCTAGCTGGATATATGTAAATACTCCTACAAGGATTGGGGTGTATTCACAAATACACGTAACCCAGTCAACAGGAGGCTAAATACAAATGCACGCTACACTTTTCAGATATTTGTAAACATTTTTGAAAACCATTTATCATTTTCCTTCCACTTCACAATTTTGTGCCACTTTGTGTTGGTCTATCACATAAAATCCCAATACAATACATTTACGTGTTTGATTCTAACATGACAAAATGAGGAAAATGTCAAG